GACAGGTGATTATTGTGGCCAATGGTTGAGCTCAATGACCCGTCATTTTCCGAGAAAACTCGAAGAGGTCGTGTCAAATTCAAAGAATAATACAGCAATTGTTTTTTTACGCGCCTTAAATTTGAAGAAGTCGTTAGATGGTATACACTTCAAAGGGCTTTCACATTCCTTGTTGATTGAAAATCCAGCATGCCCTATCAGTCGACAAATTTGATGCTGTTCGTGGCTGCAGTCTTATTCTTTTGGGATGAGCACCTTGGCTTCCACAAGTATGTATTGTGAAGTATATATGCAGATATATGAAATAATTCATATTTGAACTGCGGTTGTAGATGAAAGGGAAGAGTGATTATCGCAGTAAATTTTCCAATTTAAGCAATTGGAAAGAGCAATTGCTTAAACTGGAAAATTTACTGCGATGATCACTCTTCACTTTCACAAGTATGTATTATTTAGCTGTATCGGTTGAATTTCTCCTCTCCTAAACCACAATCGTACATGCACCGACGACATGAACCCTCATAGAGCGATTCGTGCTTAAACAGGCGGGCCTTTCCTTGGATATGGTTTTGTCTTCTGAAGTCAACCAACAAGGGAAAGTTGACAACTACAAGGTATGGGCCAAAGTCTGCAATAATGAATAAAACTAGTTAAAATAAAGCGTGACTGTCCGGTAGTTACACATACTGTACACATGTGGTTCGTTACAACGATGGTTATTCAGCAAAATTTGGTGTACTTACATGAAACAAGATTTTTTCATCTCTCTTACTCTGAACTCCAGTGAACGAAAACACCAAGGCTAGTACATATTGTATGCATGACATTCGTGATCATGTTATGCACCTATCAATGGTTTGCCCCAAGATGGGGAGGGGGGGGGGGCGGGTAACCCACGGGAATTTGACTTTTTGAGGCTTTACCTGGGTAGGGATTTTAACGTCCACAGCAATCCCCTGGGTGGGAAATTTGACTCTGTCGCCATCTTGGAAAGTGGAGAGGGCCTGGGGGCGAGCGGCCATCTTGTAAAAAGCCCAGAAGTCATTTGGATGAGCTTCCCGCGTTTTTGCTGTGCTCTTCACAATGGCAGAACGGAAGGTAAGGATTATCTTGATGCTTTTAAAGTAAAAATTGTTGTTTTTAACATCCATCCGTTATCTATCTTGAAGTTTTGTAACACATAGTGTTTCTTTCTGTCGGATTTTGAAAGAAATATTCGCACAGAACTTTATTTTAATACATTGCATCCTACTTAGCATGATTTCACTAGCATGATTTCACTAGCATGATTTCACTGAGTTTGTTGACATTACTGTACAGGATCTGTGATCCCCAGGGGTGGCAATTTGACTCTCAATGGAGACCCAGGGGTAGGGAAATTGACATTTGAAGACCTGAAAATTTCAAATTCCCCTGGGGTTGCCTGCCCCCCCCCCCCCCACTCCATCCTGGGGCAAACCATTGATAGGTGCATTTGTTAATTTAATTAATTCTTGTCATCTAATCCTGACTCCCCAGAGAAAACGACAACCTTGAGGCTCAAGACTTTTAATGCACCTAAACGGATAAATGTAAGTAAACAAACTAGTTGTTTGAGGGAGAGCTATCCAGTTGAGTAGTTCGCACAGGCATTAAAATGCTGGTGGAATCACAATGACTGTGTGTCTAGTCGCGTGATAAAGAACTGCTCTTGAGTGCAACTCAATGTACCAGTAACTAAATCCTAAAATACTCAGATAACGAACTATTCCGAAATCTACACACCGACACCAAAAGCGTGAGTAAAAGCTCATGGAACATCCTAAGAAATAAACAGATAAAAGGTAGTATTTATTAAATATCGGCACAAAGTCAAAACTTTACTATGTAGTGACTATGGCAGTCAGAGCGCTAGCATTGGGGTGTCTGTGACGAGCAAACTACTGTGTCGATATTAATCACTTCATTTGGTTCAAATTGTTGCGTGCCGTTTTTAACGGATTGTGCCAGGGACCTTTAAGTCGAATAACAGCAGGAAAGATAAGGAACTTATATAAAAAGATAATAAGCATTAACTCCAGACAATTCCTATTTCAATCACAGTTGTAGTCTTGAATAAAATATTTTTAGCTGCACGTTTATTCTTGAATAAATATTTTCCAGGCGGACACATTATCAGAGTGCAATAAGAATGTGTAATTTCTGATGAATTGACGAGGGAAATTTTCGCGTGAGGAAGACTTTGGAATCCAGGCATACCACAATTACTTAGACAATATACTATTCTTTTATGAACTCCATATTTGCATTTTATTTCCTCGCAAGTATCTTCTTGTTTTTAATTTTAATTTTTTCTAGTTCACACTTGTTACCGTAGTTATTTCAGTGATCGCGCTTTTTATTCACTATTTGTCAACTATTTTAAACACAGAACGTTTCTAAATTTTAATTATGTCTTGTCCACTTTTAAAGACAACCAATTAGTTAGCAATTAATATTCTGAAAGCGCGACGAAGAGGCGGGAAACAGAGGTCATTCAAGGTTGGTCCGTCTTTGTGTTTGCCTACCGCTTTAGCTTATGTTAAGGGAAGTG